GCGGGGGGGGCCAAGGGTCTGGGTTCAGGAGCAAGGGGGATGGAAAGGCGCGTGCTGCCGAGGTGGCGTGCTGCGCAGCGGCCCTTCTGCAGCCGGCGGGCCTGCGGTGCTGACGAGCGGGCAGGTCCAGCCTGGATTCATTGCTGCGAGGCGAGGCAGCTGCCATTCCGGACGCGCCGCGATCGGGCGAAAGGATCCTCTGGGTAGGCGGGCGCGACCATGCGTGAGTGTGATTTCATGCCCACGCACGCTGCGCGCGTGCTTGCCGCAGGTGGAGGTCCAGTGCAGCGAGCGCGGCCGCGCGCTGGCCCACGCCTGGAACGCGTCCGTGGACGCGTCCGAGGCGGCGGTTGCGGGGCTGCGCGCCAGCAACGAGGCGCTCAAGGGGCGGGCGGCGGCGCTGGCGGCGCGAAACGAGGAGCTGGCGCGCGAGTTCAAGGCCGTGGAGTTCCTCAGGTGAGTAAGATGTGCCCCAAAATGCTGTCGACTATGTATTGCATCGTTACATATGATACATACATGCACAGTGAAAATTGAGGGTGTGTTGTATAATCCTGCCTTCATGAGTTGCAGAGTGGCCCAGGTGGCCTTCCGGGGCGCCTGGGTGGATGACATGCCGACTTCAATTATGTCGAAGGCGATATCAGGGCTCTTGCAGGCTCAACACCCAGACTGAATGAACGGCAAGCGTGTCGACGGCGATACGTGCGCGCGCGCCCACGCGCCACCCCGCAGGCGCGAGGCACTGCGCTTCCGCAGCGCGATGGAGGACGCGCAGCAGCGGGCGGCCGACGGCGCGGCGGAGGGCGCGGCGCTGCGGGCGCGGCTGGCGGCGCTCGAGGCGGACGCAGCCGAGGTGGAGGCGTTCACGCGCAAGAGGTGCGGGGGCCGCGACATCCGGCCCTGCCACCGCCACGGCCTCTTGCCGGCTGGCGTGCGCGTGCCAGGGCCCGGTGCACGCAAGGGGGGGCCCGGCTGAGCGGCGTGCTGAGGTGTCGCTTCGGTTGTGGCGGCGCTTCCAGGGCGTACATGCGGCTGCGGATAGGCGCGCGGGCCGCGCTGTCTGGCTGTATGTTGGCCCCCACCCCTGCAAACGACAAATGAGTCACTTCGCCCGCCCGCACGACCGCCAGGCTCGCGCGGCTGCGCTGGCGCAACGCGGTTGCGACGCTGGGCACGTGGTCCCGCGAGAGCTCGGTGCAGAGCGGCGGCATCAAAGGCGGCCCCGGGGCCCTGCTGCGGCGCGTCAAGGTGCGCGCGGGGCGCGGGGCCGCAGCGCGGGCGGCTCGAGCTGACGCGCCGGCGTCGCTCCCCGCCCCAGGGGTCCTCCGCAGCAGGGCCTTTGCTGCCGGCCGGCGGGGTGCGCCCTGCTGACGGTGTCAAATGCTGACGATCATGATAATCACAATCACGTTCCCTGCAGAATCAGCTCCGAGCCTGTTTGTTTCGGGGCCTGTTTGTTTCGGGGCACAGCGCCGCGCATGGCAAAGGTGGGGGCGCCTACGGCGTCCACATGGTCAGGTAAGCACGCTTGTCTGAAATTTGTCGTCCTATCACCCTGTGTTGTTGGCGCGCGCGCAGGCCCTGGAGTCCCTAACGCTGGCCGTGCTGCACACGGAGCACCGCAAGGCGGCATTTGGCCGCGGCAAGCAGCCGGAGCAGTATGGCGCCGGCGGCGGCGCGCCGCGGCCCGACATGATGGCGGCGGTCAAGGCGCGCACCGCACCGTCTGGCCTGGCTTGGGCTCGGGCCTGCGGTATCTGGGGCGATTCTGGCGACTGATCGCTGGCGGCTGCGCTTCCTCAAGTGCACTTTGCGTCGTCAATCTGCGCGCTGTGTTGCATAGCGCTGCCTGTGCACGATTGGCGCTGGGAGGAGCGGTGACAAGGCAGCTCTGAATGTTCAAACTTCGCCCTGTCTGCAAACCCAACCCCTCGCAAACGCAGGTCATGACGCATGGCCCAATAGCCACCAGCCCCGGCCGCTCGCAGGGCGGCGGCGGCATCGACTCGTCGGTTCAGGTCGGGTGTTGCACCACATGCGCCTGCACAAAAGCACGTCGAACGATGAGCAATGCGGCGAAGTCATGGGGCCTAGTGACAACACCCATTCAGCTTGCGGCATGCCGCAAGAAAATTCGTCAAAACTGCCATACCTGTCGCAACTGCAGATGCTGACGTCGCTGACGCCCGAGGCGCGGACGATGATGCTGTCAACGATGCCGCCTGAGCAGAGGGTGAGCTGGGTGCAACGCCCAGAAGCCCCGGATCGGGGCCACGGGCTGCGCCTTGAGCGCATGTTCGCGCGTGCACATCCACTTCGTTACTTGCACCAGCTGGCGCTTTTGGAGCCATCGCCAGCTTCACAGGGGCATCGTTGCACTCCAGCACAACGAGTCCGCGCTTCAGAGCGCAAAACGGGCCCCTGACGTTGCCGCTGCCGCATCGCTGGCACGAACTGTCCCCGTCGGGGGGCCTGTGATGCGGCGTGGCATCTTTTTGAGCACCCGGCCGTCGTGCAATTGCCCACACCCCCCCCTCCTGACGTAAAACCCCATTGCCATCCTTCTTCCGTTACCCACCATTTAGTTACCCACCACGCGCCCCCCTTCCCCACTGGCAGTGGCGGCTGCTGGAGGCAATGCGGGATGAGGAGAGGGCGGAGCTCCTGATCCGCATGAGCCTGCCCTTCAGGTGGGCGGGAGCCCGAGCCGCTCTGAGTGTGTGCTACATAACCCCTGCAAGCCCGCTTGCCCGCCCGCCCCACCAAGCCTTGGATGCTTGTGCAGCCGAGGCCGCAGTGTCGGAGTTGCCGGATGCCTCTCGGTCTACCCAAGCCTTGAAACCTATCAATTTCAAGCGAGACGATGAGGGGTCCCGCGCGCCGCCCGGCGGTCTGACGCAGGGCGGAGGCGCGCGTGGGCCTGGATGCGCGGCTGTGGGACAAGGCAATGGAGGTCATCCGCAGCCGCAGCAGCTTCGGCGCAAAGTGAGAGTGGCTGAGACCGACTGGGCGCAGGCCGCGGCATGCTTGCCAGAGGGCACCGCTGGCGCGTGTGGGGGGCGCGGTCGGCCTCTGCCGCAGCAGCACGCGGCCTCCAACCCCACGCCCCTGCCGAGTCGCGGTCACGTCCGGGCTTGAATCGCCCTTCCGACGCCCACCCTACCCGCGCCGTGGGCAGGTTTCTGACCGCGATGGACATAGGGGACGCCACGGCGGAGTTTCTAGGCTGGGGGCTCTACCCGCAGGTGAGGCAGGCACCTCATAGCATCCCTTGCTGTCCCGCCCTGCTCGGCTTTTGTGGCAAGCGCTCCAGTCTCAAGCTATAAAGCACCGTGGGATGGTCGCCACGGCGGTGTCGATTACCTTGTCAATCACCGTCTGATTATGCAGGCGTGCAACCAGCATAGCCAGTCATGTGCTGGCAGGGTGAAAGGCTCAGATGCAGCAAAGGGCTCGCACACCAGCCACGTCATTGACTTTCCAAGTCGATTCAAATGCGAGCCCCTCACCACCCACAGGACACAATCAAGTGTCCGCCCTGCCCTCTGTACTCCCTGTTCCGCCTCCGCAACCCCTGTCCCCCCATCTTCCGCCCTGCTCGGCTGCCAGGTTGATGTGCTGGGAGCCCTCGACACGTTCACCTCCGGCGCCATCCTGGGCCGCGTTCCTGCTGCCCTGCGCAAGGAGCTGCTGTCAATGCTGGACCCCGGGGTGGCGGCAAACATTGTGCAGGTGGGCAGGGCAGGCAAAGGGGGTGCACAGGGGTTTGCCTCTCGTGTGTGAGCATGTGTATGTGTTTGTGTGGAGAGAGAGACTGTGATTGTGTGAAGCGCGCAGTTGAAAGGCAGGGTGCAGGCGGGCATGCAAGCGGCTGCAGTAGTGCCACTCATGTGCCATGCTCTCACGCGCCCACGCATGCACATGCGCGTGCACAGGCGTGCGCAAAAGATTGGGAGGGACCAAGGCAGCCACCGGAGCAACCTCTCCCCCTCGACTTGCACTTGCTCTGCGCCCAGGACTTGACCTTGCCCTCCCCCTACCTTGCCCCGCTCCGCAGGCGATGACGCCGCCGCCTGCTGCGGAGTCGATCGACGCCCTTGACCTGCAGCGCGCAATGGCCATCCTGGCGGCAATGGACCCAGCGAAGGTGACTGTTGTATCAGCTTGAAGCTGGGGCTCTCTGTTAGCCGCAAGGTCATGACATCGACAAGAATTGTACGGCGAGGGGGGGGGGGTGGCGGTCTCATGGTGGTGTGTGAGGGGATGCAGTCCAGGTTGGTGGCGCGACAGCCCGCTCTGCGGTGTGCGTAACCGTCATTGAGCACAGTGTGCCTTCGAGAACTCCCACCTGGCGGCCGCGACTGATTCATGTGGCCTCGCAGTATGAATGGCGGCGCTTGTCTTGATTAGAGCCCTCCTCTTCTGCTCTTGAGGGAGCGGCAACTCCCTTTATTCACAACGCATGTGTTTAAGCCAGGTCAAGTAAGGGACACTGGCTTGCATTCAAGGGCCGCAATTCCTTGCAACGCCCTTGCTTGACACTCACACAAACACACACACACACACATACACACACACGCACACATTCACACCACGCACACACTCCAGGCCGCGGAAGTGCTGGCAGTGCTGGGGGCAGAGGGAGCCGCCGAGAAGCTGATGGGGATGGACGCCAGGGCGCGCGCCTCCATCATCGAGAGCATGGCGCCGCGCGACGCTGCCGGGACCCTGGTGTCCATGGAGGACGCCCTGCAGGTCTGCTGCCGCCATGATCTGATGCGAATTGGCGGGTTGATCATAGCAACCTGACGCGGCCTTGTCATGCGCCCTTTTGGTTTTCGTGCGCATGGGTTGAGTTTTAGCGCAAGCGGGTGTGGGTGGATGGTTGTGCTGATGAGGAGAAGCAGTAGAAGAGACGCGCGGCCAAATCAGCAGCGCTTACGGCCTCGCTGCGGTAGCTACCAGCTTTGCGTTGTCCCCAGCAATGACAGCCTCAACCCCTCGCGCCGCAGGTCCAGCTGCTACGGCGGGAGGGCTCCAGCAGGCGCAGCGGCGGCCTCGACGGCGGGCGTGCGTTCGACGACGGCGGCGATGAGGGCGGCGGCGACGACGGCGATGGCAAGGGCGACGACCTGGCGTCGCCGGCTATGGGGGCGATCAGCGGGATGCGGCCGGCGGCGGCGTTGAACGTGATGAGTTACATGAGCCTGCAGGTGTGACTCGGTGTGTGTGGCAGGTCATCTGCAGCTAGGCGTCGTCACGTGTGGACTCACGCGCCCGCAACCAAACAAAAACAGCCAAGGCCGCGCTTCAACGCGGACTCGGGCGTTCATGGCACTCTTGGTCGCAGCGATGAACCGTCTCAGTACCCACCAAGGAGCCCTGGTTGCACCTATTCAGCTGTCCCCACCGGGCCCTGCCCACCACCCTACCATACAGCACCCCACACAAACATACATGCATACCAACGCACTGCCTCTGGAGGGACACACACCACGAGCCCCCAAACACACAGCCTGCACCACGCACAATGCACCGTGCATTCTGCACCCTGCACACTCTGCAATCTTGTGTGCCTCTATCCAACAGGACAAGGCCGCCCTACTGGCGTCCATGGACCCCGCGTCAGTGGCGCGCCTGCTGGCGGCCATGGAGCCCCAGGAGGCTGTCATGCTGCTGGCGGCCCTGGGGGACCAGGGGGGCCGGCTGGTGGGGGAGGCGCTGCCCAGAGAGGAGCGGGAGCGGCTGGTCAAGGTGGGGCCTGCGATGGTGCCATTGGGCGTGTTTGTCAGGTCTAATGGGGCCAGGGGCCGGGGCGCGCGCATCAACATTGGCCGGCGGTGTAAGGTGGCGGGCGACGCAGGACTGCATCGGTCGGGGTGGTGGGCTCGGCGCCTGCGTGCATTCACCCCTTTGATGGCGGGTGCTCTCGCGTTGATGTGTGCTGCAATTGGGACCTCATGCGCCGCCTTGTGAAACTCGCTTGCTGCCTGAGTAGGTGCTGCAGGCGGCCGACGCGGCGCCCGCCAAGAGGAAGGGCAAGGGCGCGGCCAAGCCGCCCCGGCAGGCGCCCGGCAGCTTCCGCGACCGCGCGGCTGACTCCGCCGATACCGTCGACAGGATCGTCTCTGCGTACGAGGTGGGCTGTCACTTGTGCACGTTTGAATTTTGCCTCTGCGGGCTGCAAGCTGCAAGCTGTGCGCCAGCCGGCCGCAGGCTTTTTCATGCATCGGCTGGGTCGGTCCGCCAAACGGCGGGATGATCGGGGCCTGCGCAGCGCCGCGAACGGCGCTAGTGAGCTACATGTCCCCTCACTTGCGCCACATGCTCAACATCCTGATCCCTTCTTATCACAGACCTTGGAGGAGAGCGCGCTGGAGCCCTCCGCGCCGGACAGCCGCCGCATCTCGACGGCAGAGGACGTCGTCAGCGCGCAGCAGGCGGCGCTCGCGGCGCAGCAGGGCCGCGCCAACGGCGGCGCCAACGCCGCCCGCGCCAGGCGCGCCACAGGCGCGGGCGCGGGCGCCGGCACCGGGCGGAGGGCGCAGCAGGGCGCCGCGACGGCGGACGCCGCGGCGGCGCTGCTGCAGCAGGCGGCGGCCGGCGACGGCGGCGGCGTGAGGCGCGCCACGCGGGTGACTTACGACAGCGACTATGATGCGGCCGCTGCGGCAGCGCCTGCAGACGACGGGGGCGAGGCCCCGGCCGGCCGCAACGCCGCCGGCGCCAAGTCCGCTCGCGGCCCCGCCGGTCGCGGCGCCAACGCCGCCAACGCGCCGCGCCGCCCCGCCGCCGCCCAGCCGTCCCCAGGCGTGGGGGAGCGGTCCCGCAGCGGCAGCAGCGACGGCGAGGGCGAGGCGGGCGGGGCGGCTTCTGCGGCGCCCGAGCGCGCGGCTGCGGCGTCGGGCGCCGCGTCCAAGCGCTCGTCCGAGGTCGGCTACAAGAAGCCCCCCAACACGGCCCGCGCGGGCCCGCCGCGCCGGCCGGACCCCGCAAACGCGGCCTCGGGGAAGCGGGGCGCGGCGGGCGGGCTGGCGCTGCCGCTGGAGCGGCTGCCGGAGGCGGGAGGCGGCGACGATGGGGACGGGGACGAGCTCGGGCCCATATCCGCTGGCGGGCGCCTGGAACGGGTGCTTATGCGTGTTGTGTGTGTGTGTGTGGGAGGGGGGTGCGGATGAGACGGAACGTGCAGCCGGTCAATGCATGCAACAGGGCCCTGCGCTGCTCGCCACCACGTGCATGTCGAGCTCTCACGCCGACGCTCGATATTGGATGACTGCGCCGGCGCTTTCGATTGCGAGGCTTCATTCGCGTCCGCCCCTGCGCCGTCCGAGCTCGCCTCACCTCAACGCGCATCGCCTCCACGCGCCCCCCTCCCCTCCAGCCCGACGACGGCGCCAGCGCCGACGAGCAGGGCGGCGCCAGCTTAGCTGCCTCCCCGCGCAGCGGCCCGTCCCCCGTGCCGCGCGGCCCCCTCAACTCGTCCCGCCGCCACCACCGCGGCGGCGCCGCGCCCGCGGCGTCCGCCGCGGCCAGCGCGGCCGCGGGGCGCCACGCGCTGCGGGAGGCGCTGCGGTCGCAGGCAGCCAAGGCGAAGCGGGCGGCGGGCGAGGAGGGCGGCGGCGGCGAGGGCGGCGGCGGCGGCAATAGCGGGGGCGGTGCAGGGGCGGAGCCGGAGCAGCAGCCGCCGCAGGCCAAGCTGGGACGGCTGCCGAAGAACGCTCGGCTGATCGAGGCCATGGCGCAGCACAGGAACGCTAAGCCCAAGCCCAAGGGGTGGCTGCTGGCCATTGTTGACTCGATCTACAAAGAGGGTGGGCGCGCGAGCTCGTGTGTGTCGATGCGAGTGTGTGTGTGTGTGTGTAAGTCAGTACGCGTGTGTGTGTGTATGTGTGGGGTGCTCTGACGTGCATGGGCATGCGTATGCGTGCGTGTGCGCGTTCATTCATGGCCAAACCTGAAATTCGGGTGAGGTTGCAACTGGAGCTTCAAACGCCGCCCAAGCCGCTGAAGCTTCGCCTTTGGGCTTCTTGGCCGGCCCCACGCGAACCCTCCTTCTCCACGCCCGTCCTGGACGCAAGCTCCGGCATGCCAGCCGCCCGCTCGGCGACCCCGCCCCCCCACCCGTCCCCTGTCCCTCCCGCTCTCCCCAGGTGAGACGCTGCTGCGCAAGCTGGGGCGGTTCGACATGGTGCGCAAACAGAGTGTCCCAGAGATAGTGTTCGCCTACTTCCATAACAAGTGAGCACACATGTTTGGCCCTGCCACAGGCACACATGATCAGCGCTTCTGCGCACGCTTGGGACCCTGCAGAGTTCAGCCTCTACCTGCTTTCCTTGTCTTAAAATGCGGAGCCAACTGCACATGCAACAGGCCCCCATCGCCAGGCCCATGCTGCCGCCATCCCTCTGCACGGGCGCTGCCTGCCAGCCTCCCCCCACACACCAGCGCAAAATAACCGCCGTCCGGCAGGTACGGTCAGCGCGCGCTGGTCAACGAGAACGTTGGCGGCCTGGTCAACACGCTGACTCTGCACAAAACCAGCGACCTGCGGCTGGAGGCGTTTGCGCGGCTGCTGAGCGAGGAGTGGGACGTGGGGATATTCATAGACTTCATCAACGCGCAGGCGCAGTGCGCACAGGTGCGCACGCGGCACGGGTTTGACTAGCGGCTGCTGCGCTGCGCGGAGGGCTGCTTTGAAAACTGCTGCCTGTTGACCGTGCGCATGCCTCGCGATACAGTGCACAAGTTTGCCCGGGCCTGCATTGTCTTGTGTGACGGGTGATGACGTGATCGCGTGCCATCCACCATATGGCAACACACAAACGCGTGCACACACACACACCACACACACACACACACGCGTGCATTTGTCTGGTGTGCCGCCTGCTGCATATAACACGCATTCGCAGCCGTCCAAGGTCGCGTGCATCGAGTACCCCCTGCAGCCGGGCAAGGACGAGCAGTACGTAGTCATAGACCTCTTCAAGGCGGTGGCGGTCGCTGACTCAGCGCTCGGCATCAGGTCCCAGGTGTGTGTGCGTTGACTGCACCACAAATGTTGTTGAACAATGCATGCTGTCAGCCAAGTCCAGGAAGCCTGCTTGAGCCCAAAGCACTGGAGCTTGCTGCGATGATGGGCGGGTGCTGCAAAGGGTGCTGCTGATTGACAGTGGCCCGTGCCGCCTCGTCCCCAGGTGGCGCGCGAGCGGTTCAACGAGCTGCTGCAGGCAGCGGCGCAGCCTGCTGACGAGGCAGACGTCGAGAAGCTGCGCAGGTGTGTGTGTTGGCACATGGTTTCGAAGGCGAGGCATGAGCGCCCGCAGGTTTGTTGAGTTTGCAGGCCTGGGTGTCTCTGAGCTCGCAGCAGTACAGTACCACCATACAACCCTCCCGTCCCTGCCGCCACATCACTGTTGCCTTGCTTCGCTCAAGCTGACAGCTCCCGCTGTCAAGTCGAATCAGAACCCGCTTCCAGTTGCTGATTGTGGTCGCGCTACACACAGTGCAACAAAGGCCTCATCGCACGCGCGTGCGACGCGCTGCTCCCACCACCCCCCTGCATCCAGGGAGCGCCGAGAGGCTCTGGCGAAGGAGGGCCGCGGCGCGGCGGGCGGCGGCGCCGGGGAGGAGCTGCCGGAGAAGTTCTGGAAGCTGCCGCGCATCCGCTTCCTGCTGCTGCTCTGCAAGGAGATTGCCCGCATCAACAGGCAAGCGGGCGGCCCGGGGCTCGGCGGGGTGATTGCTGTAGTACTTTGCGTGTACTGCTCTTGAGACCACCATCGCATCCTCAGGAAGGGGATGACGTATGGGCATGTGTGGCCTGTCCCGATTGAGAGCGCCCCTTTGTCTGACGGGTGACTGGCAAGCCGCTGCTGCAGTGTTATTGCCATGCATATGGGTGCGGCCCTCCATCTTGCCCCCTTCCTTGGCCCTCCC